GCTGGTTTTTTTCCCCCCTCACAGGGCGATATTGGGCTGATATTTACGACACAATCATTTCAGGGACATTCCGTCAGTGGAAAGAGGGAACAACCAAAAGTGAAATTTATTACCCAGGTGAGTGGAGTGTTCCTTATAGACTCAGGTGTCTGCGGGAGGGGGAGGGGCAAGGGGAGACTCTTACGTGCTGTCTTTCCGTCCGTCTTTATAGGAGACACCATTGTGCACCAGTCTGGAGAAGCTACATCAGTGCAGTGGAGCGCCGGCACGTGGATGGTGGAGTACGGTCGGGGCTTCATTCCGTCCACACTCCCCTTTGCTCTTGCTGATACAGTCTTCAGCACTCAGGACTTCCTCACGCTCTTCTACACCGTGCGAGTTTATGTCAAGGGGCTGCTCCTGGAAGCCAGCACCTACTTCAGTGACACGAGCCAGTGAGCACCTGTCCCTCAGCTCTCTTTCCGTTGCCCCCTTTGAAACAGAAGCAACGCCTCTCTCCTTCCCCCCATTGGCTGTGTTGTCTTCTAGAGGACGCGGTGCATCTCGTGTGCTCGCACTTGTTCACCTTGACGAGGGTGGGAGTGTGGTACGTGTTCCAACAAGTGTAGGATGGATCAAGCAGACTGCATCCTAGTTCATTATCTCTTAAGGCCAGAATGTGTTTCTCTCATGTAGTTTTGTAAATATATGCCCTCTGTCTTTGCCCTGCTCTATGATGCAATTATTGGACATCTGCTAGAAGTAAGGAGATCGAGCATTTGAGATGTCTGGGAAGGAGGTCATGCATAGATGAGAAAGAGGGAGAGTAATTCTTTTAACATGTTTACATGCACTAAGGATGCCCTAAAATCTAGTTCCCCCAAAAAAAGTTTGGATGATGCATTTTCAGATGGGGTGTGACTTGACATCCCCCCAAAATGAGGGGAGGCCGGCCAGCAGCAAAGTGTGGAAAATGAAGCTCTCAGAAAGTAGATCTTTGCCTTACTGTGTATCACAGATTATAAAGATTTCCTGGAGAATTGCCTGTTTTCCCCACCTCTCTTTTGAACCCCGCTGAATTTCCCAGTCGGAATTAGTATTGTCTTGCTGTGCTTCACTTGCTCTGTAGGCATAATAACCAATTCCTAGAGCATTGTGAGAAGCAAAAAGGACAACAGATCTGGCCTCTCCCAAGTTGCATTTTGTTTGTTCAGCAGGAAGGACTTGCCTGGTGTTTCTTCACCTGGAAAGAACAACCCACTCACCTCACGCCACCCCGTGAGGAGGTATTGGAAAAGACCTCCCTGCTCTATTTCTGGGAAGGCAAACATGATCCGGCTGTGTTTTTCTTGGCTCTCACTGCGTGAGGATATGCGATTGCAGTTAAGCTCTTGGGATCAGTACCTGCTGTGTGGGGTAGTTAGCTTTTAACTCTGTGTTTGCAACCTGATCTTCCCTGTACCTTTTCATGTTGGTGGACAGATTTTCCTTCCTCTCTTTCACCAAAATGGATCGCACGTTCCTTGAGGACCTCATCCAGTAATGTTGAGCGCCACCTGTCATCGCCTTAACTTAGAGCCTTACTCTGGTGGCCTCTTCAGCTATGCACGCATGTACATACGTATATACCTCCTCGTGTCGATGTATCTGATATAGGATGCCTGGTGATAACTGTTTCCGGGGCTGCTTTTTGACAGCCCTGTGGCAAGAGTCTTGCGGGTTCAGTTGGTTTGGCACATGCTTCTCTCAAAGCCCATTTTTCTCTGGTCCCTGATACATCTGGGCTCAGAGTCTGAATGTCCCCATGTTTAGGCTGAAAGTTGAGAGGCAGGCCAAACCCAGAGGTATCTTGGCAGGAGCAATCACACTGATTTGAAAAGGATCAGAGCTTACTCGTGTTTGGCATCAGTAAAAGCACCTCCTTGTTTCTCTCAAACATCACTGCACTTGCCAGACACCTCTTGCTCCTCGTCCTGGCCTGCAAATCGGCCCATGATAACTCTGGGTCTGTCTGGGTTTAAGGATCTGAAAGATTGTCCAGCTTTAGTCCAAGTGGCATTTCCTTCCTAACAAATACCCCTCTGTTCTCCTTTCAAGAATTGTTTCCGCTGAAGAAATCTTTCCTCCTCCTAAGCAGAATCATAGTTGTTGTGGAGGCAGACCCAGAATATTAAAAGGCTGAAAATGCTCTGCTTGCCCTTTCCAGGTTTCATTCTTGACAGATAGCAGACCTTCTCGCTGAAGCTGTTCTGCTACGAGTCACTTGGTTTAATTGCCAGCAGAGACCAGACAGCCATCATCTTCTATTTTTCAAATGGTGGAGATGTTCCCTCATCTTGGAACACTGTTTACAGCAGATCCTTTCTCTCCTTCCTCTCCCCATGATTGGGCATCCGTTCTGGGTACTTTTGTTTCTGGGGACTAGATTTAGTTCCCACAAGTGTGGTTGGAACCAGATGCTTGGCACGGCTTCTGGAGACAAGCAGTAGCTTTAGCAATACAGTAGTTCCTCTCCAGCAGGAGAGGCTAAAAGAGTTCAGTTCGTGGGTGGCTGTCCCAGTCAGCAGCTGCCAGCAGCCCTAGGCCTTTCCATCAACAACAGCAGAATATAGCAGACCACATGGCCAGAGGAGCCCAAAGCAGTGGCTCCTTATCAGCTGCGTTGACTGGTTGCAAACGCAACTCAAGGCACCAGTATTCACCTCCCGAGGAAGAACCATGTAGACGTGCCTTTGGGGACCATCCGTTGTGGTATATTTGGTATAGTTTGTCCAGAAGCCCTGGTGCGAGCAAGTAACTTGCCTGATGGATGTGATGGGGGGGGGAGTTCTTAGAACACCCAAGGCCAGCTAATGCCCCCTTCCATCTGGCACTGTGCAGGGCAGGACTTTGTTTGGAACCGTATTGGTGGACTGCAGGGAGTCAGCCCTGCTCCTGCCGGCCCTTTTTCTTCAGTGGGGGGGTGTGTGTGTGCTGCAAGGGCTAGCATGGGTTGCCGAGCGCTGCCTCTTTTGCGCAGAAGCCTTGTAGCCATCGGCCAAACGTGTGGCATGTGTCTGGTTTTTCTCTGTTGCTACCAATGTGTCTCAATACACATCTGATCGTGGTCTTTTGTTTGTCAACCAGTGTTTGAGAATAAATCAGTGTGTATGGCTGTTAACCAAAAAGAAATAGAATGGACCGTGACTGAGCTTATCCTTGTCTGCTTGTGTTATTTGTCTCTGGCAATCATTGCAAACTGGGTACTTGTTATGATTTGCTTTATTTGTTCGTATTAGTTACCTGAGGAATTCCAGGCAGTTTGCAATACAGCAAGGACCCCTATATCCACAAGGGGACCAGCTCCATGATCTTCCATGGATGCCTGAAACTGCAGATACGAGGGAACCCTATATGCAACGTACAAAGGGGCAGGATAGATGCCATAAGGGGGTGCCCTTGTGTGTCTTAGGGCTTCAGGATACGACAAACACCAATCCCACAGATATGATGGTCCTACAGTATTTAAAAACAGGCAAGAGAAATATAATAAATCATTTGGATGCAATTAAATACAGTGGTGCCTCACAAGACAATGTTAATTCGTTCCGCGAAAATCGCTGTTAAGCAAAAACATTGTCTTGCGAAACACATTTTCCCATTGAAATGCATTGAAAACCTGATAATCCGTTCCAATGAGAATGGATTGTCATCGTAAAGCGAAAATTGCCATAGGAAACATTGTTATACGAAGCGCAAGATCGCTCCAAAAACCTCATCGTAAAGCGAACTCATGGTTATGCAAAGCAATCATCTAGCAAGGCACCACTGTAGTTAGACGTATGGAAGGATATATGAACACTAAAATGCTGTAACCACCACCGAACATCCCATAAAGAGTCAACATTTAGATGCCTAATGCCTGTTTGGAAAGGAGGGGTGTAGAGGGGCAGGGTAAAAATCAAATAAATTTTTAAAATAAATACATAAATAAATGTTTTTGCCTACCAGTGGAAAGAGAGCAAAAAAGGGGCCCAGCTGAGCCTCCTGAGGGAAGGTATTCCATAATCTCAAAGCCACCAACTTTCTTGTGTTCTCACTACCTGAATTAGTGAAGGTGGTGAGTCTGTTGACCTGGACACTTGTGGAAGCTCATGTATGGAAGTACAGTTGTTGGTTTTTTCCCCGTAGCCTGAAGCCAAGCTGCATTGAGGTTTTATACATCAAAACCACCACTTTAAATTGGGCTCAGAAATGGCCTGGAAACCAGTGTGGTGGTTGTATCAAGGGAGCTCCCTGCTCCCTGCGTCCTCCTCTGGTTAGGAGCCAGCTTCAGCATTTTACATCAGTTGAATGTTTAAAACTGTCTTCAATGGTAAGCCCACATAAGAGTGTCGGTCTTCAGACTGAAGAAGTTACTTGGACGAGTAGCGAAACTTTTCAACTTAATAGGAAAGAAGTCCAGTTGCCATGCCTTGACTTCCAGATAACCTCACCTGGATATGACTGAGAATCTTCACAGATCTAAGAGTGTGTAGAATCTCATCTGGATTACTGTAATGGACATGTGCCAGTGACTCCAGATGAAGCATCGCCAGGAACACAAGTTTTCACAGAGCGAATGCACTCCGGCTACCTCTGAGCCCTGGACACCCAACTCGGCAGTGGCTCAGAACCTCTTGTTTCAGGGAGCATGAGGCAGGAGACTATATCCGAAACAGGCTGAATCCATATTCCCTTTCAGCTGGCCCGGAGCACCTCTGCTTTGTCTGGATTAAGTTTAAATTTGTTCACCCTCATCCAATCCATTAGGGTGAAAACAGTTTCTGTCCTGGCTTCTTTCCGGACCTTTATCACGTGTTCAGGTACATTCCATGCATTTTACACCTCACAGCGCCTATGGGTTCCAGGGCATGCATTGTTGCACTCAAAAAAAAAACTGGAGGAGTGATTAAGGTGAACACTGTATTAGTATCTCATTTTTCAACTTGTGTGCAGGAATAAAGTTTTGGCACCAAGGATGAAGGTCAGGGGGTGGAATAAATATCAGGCAGGAAAGCATAGTACATAGAGGGAAACATTTGGTGGGCCCTCAGGCGCATGCAGGAAAGGAACGGGCTGCTGTGGCATAACACATCTGCCACGTCATGACCAGGCAGGAAAGCATAGTACATAGAGGGAACGTTTGGTGGGCACTCAGGCGCATGCAGGAAAGGAACTGGGGCTGCTGTGGCATAACACATCTGCCATGTCATGAACTTCCTTCTGAAGAGGGCCTACTAGGTGGCAGCAGGAGTCGGACCTGGTTGTGGCCCTCCTGGTGCAGTCCAGTGGTTCTTTATAGAGTGGACCAAGCTGTCCGAAGCCAAGGATATCTGGGCAGATATTTTGCTGCTCTTTCGTTATTTCATGCCATACAAATATTTCTTTGATCACAGAGGAGGAATGAGTTTAGGGCTCCACAAACTCCCAACTATCTAAAAACTAAATGGGGGTGGTGAAGAGTTTCCACTAAAAAAAAAATAGCAAGATGATTTGTGTCTGCATCAAAACTTGGGTTATTTTTTTTCCTGCCTAAAGGAGGACATGTTCGATGAGATTCCCCCAGCAAAGTGCCACAGTTGGAGAGAGGTGTAGGTGAGGATACTGGGAGAAGGATGGTGGAGGTTCGGAGGCTGTGGGGTCCACCGCTGGCTGGTTGTTACGTTCCAGCAGGTGGCAGTAGCATCCTGTTCGAAGGCCAGCTTTTATGTTCTACTGTCACCTTTAAATTGCATCTCTTCAGGAAGAAAAGAAAGCCATGAGACATCCATAGAAGCAGTTCTGGTTTGGGTAATCCCTTTACTGCGCTGGTAAAATGTTGAGTTTTTCAGAGGTCTTCATCTGGCAGAGATGGTATAAAATTTGGGGATAAACGAGGACTGCCTTTATCCTCAGCTTTATATTACTGTGTTTCCCCAAATATAAGACAGGGTCTTATATTAAATTTTTGCTCCAAAGAACACATTGGGGCTTATTTTCAGGAGATATTTTATTTTACAGTCGTGTCACCTTCTTCTGGTTGCTGCACAAGGGTACATGCGCTCGTAATCTCGAGATTAGACCACTGTAATGCGCTCTACGTGGGGCTACCTTTGGGGTTGCTGCGGAAACTACAGGTGGTGCAGAATGCGGCGGCCAGATTAATCAGCGGTGTGAAAAAATACCAACATATTTCACCCACTCTGGCCGCCTTGCATTGGCTGCCCATCCGTTTCCGCATCGACTTCGAAGTGCTGATGCTCACGTACAAAGCCCTAAACGGTTTAGGGCCTCGATACTTGGTGGAACGCCTACTCCCGCCAAGATCTACCCGTGTCACTCGTGCGAGTCAGGAGGTGAGGCTGAGGAGCCTAACGCCAAGGGAGGCCCGGAAGGAGAAGACCAGAAATCAGGCCTTCTCGGCGGTGGCTCCTCGCCTCTGGAACAACTTACCTCCTGTGATCCGCAGGTCTCCCTCGCTGGGTGTCTTCAAGAAGCAATTGAAGACATGGTTGTTCCGGCAGGCCTTTCCATTATACACCTCTTGACCCCCCTCTTTTCTGTTTTTGTTTTTTGTTTTGTGTATTATATGATTTAATGTAGTGCTTTCTTCTTTTAGAATTGTCTATTTTCGTTGTCTTATATTATTTTTATGGTTGTTAGCTGCCTAGAGTGGTCCTTCGGACCAGATAGGCCGGGTATAAATCAAATAAATAAATAAATAAATAGAGGGCAGGGTTTCACTTAACTAGGGCTTATTTTTGGGGTAGGGCTTATATGATGAGCATCCTGAAAAATCGTACTAGGGCTTATTTTCAGGTTAGGTCTTGTTTTCGGAGAAACAGGGTAGGAGTAAAACATGTATCTTGTAATATAGGACCAAGAATTTAAAATAAATTAGTACCTGATTAAGCCATAGCTTCTTGCGGAACCAGAGTCCACATCACCACACATTTCAAGTGCACACCCACAGTGTGTTTGTTTGAGGGAGTTGATGCTGCTTTCCCCCACCCAGTGTTCTCCACAGATATTGGACGCTAAGTCTCAGTAAATCGCCGTGCTGCTCTGAATAAGTCCCAATTCCATCTGATTGTGGAAACTCAGTAGGGTTGGGTCTGATTAAAGCAAAAGATGGGTGGCTGCCAGAGTATCTCCAGAGAGGGTTAGGAAAGAATGCCACCTAAAATCACAAACTGTTGAGGCTGGCAGTCAGAGCAGATGTTACAAGGTTGGCCAAGGGTGCCTCTCAACAGAAGACCGCAGTGATCGTCAAGCATCCCGGGTGAGTAGCCAGCTTGCCCGAGTACCCGACCAATAGTCAAGGTGACGTCTCAAAATATCATCCCCTCTTTTTAATTCCAAACCCAAAACTAACCAAAGGTGCCAAATGTTCATGAAATTGTTTTATTTCACCTCCCAGCAGTCTAAAAGCACAGAAGGCTTTTCTTTAAAATAAATACACGGGAAGTACAGGGCATGTCGTAGACACACTGTGAACACAGATGCAACAATGAAAAGTATAGCATGAAAGATGGTCGTACCGGCAGTTCCAAGCAGCCTGGAACAATCGGCCTTTCAGGAGCCACAAAAAGTGTGACGAATGCAATGCTAATGTGAATAAAAGTTAAACCTATCTGTCTGTCTATCTATCAAAATGTTTTACCCCACTCACAATAATGAGTAAACATACTAAAACTGATCGAATAAATACTTTACTATAAAACAAAAGCAACACCAAAAATACATTCAGAGCAGTAAGGTACAACTATCCATTTAACAGGCCCTCTGAGACCACCAGTTACTAAGGGAAATCCTGCGTGAAGAGAAAGGTCTTTACCTGCTGGTGGAAGGACGGCAGGCAAAGTGGGAGGGAGATTTCCAGAGGCTGGGAGCAGCCCCAGGGAAGTCCCTCTCCTGCGTCCCCACCAGACACACCTGGGAGGGTGGAGGGACTGAGAGAGATCCCCCCCCTCCTCATGATCCTAAAGCCCAGGCAGGCTCATAGAGGGAGATGCGGTCTTTGAGATAGAAAGCTCGGACCCAAGCCGTTTCAGGCTTTAAAGGTTAAAACCAGCACTTTGAATTGTGCCCAGAAACAGATCAGCAGCCAGGGGAGTGGCTGTAATGGTGGTGTTACACGATTCCCAGTCACCAGCCCCAGTTAGCAAATCTGGCTGCGGCATTTGGGACC